GTTTTTCCTTCTGCTCAACTATGCAACTGAAAAAAATTGCATTATGTCCAAAAGAAACTAATTTGCACTGTATCTGGAAGGGGTTTTACTAGATCAAGTCAAAATATATTGGAAAGACAGGAACTGTACCAGTACAATTCACATGCATCCTCTGAAATCAGAGTTGCTTGTACTGTGTCACTCCGTATGGGGCTGTCAGGATCTCCCACAGAAAAATGTGCTGACAGATAGGATTGAGGCTGCAACAGTGAATGGAAGCTGCAAAGGTTAAGGTAGCAAGTAAACGAGTGATTATTAGAGCATGTGAGGGGTCTTTCAGCTTGTTTAATAGCTGAATGGCCTCCTACCACTAAGTGGTACAAGAGGCAATTTGAGTTTAAAAAAGGCACTAAACAGAAGTAATTTGTTTTTAAACCAGCAAGGAGGGACTCCTGCTGAAATTAAAATAAATATCTCCTCCCCTCATCAAAAAAAGCAAGATGAGCTTTATGACTGCTGTATTAACAACAACAAAAAATTAAATTAGCAGAACCTTATAGTCTTGAATACTTGGTGAAATATCAAGGAATACAGTAGTTCCCTACAATGCAGCAACTTGGCAAGCACAAACTTTGCCCCTTTTGGAAGTTATAAATAATGCCTTAGAATAAAGAGACTAAAAAAAGGCATTTTAATTTGAAGCTAAAGGAGATGCATTTGGTACTTAGTTTGAATACCTTTCAGAAGTGTTGAAGTTGTCCATGATCTCTGTTTATTAGGTCTCCTCCCACGTGGTTCTGTGAAAGGCCACAGTCGAAGTGGATCAGGCACAAAAAGCAAACAGGGGTTCTGAGGTGCCATGGAGAAGTGTCCAATCCATCCATCCATCCGTCCATCAACCCATCTCTGGAGAGTCATGAACCACCTCTCATTCCCAGCAAGGTCAACGTTGTTTACAGAGAGTTTTCAAACACCCTTCCTCACAAATAGTTATTTTTATATAAACCTAAGCAGCAGCTGCCAAAGATTAGAAGGGGTACACTTAAACATTCCATTTTCTATCAGTAGAGAAAGTGATACTCCAGTGGAAGGGTGAAGATACTCCAGGAAAGCCTAACTCCTAGGAAATCCAGCAAACACTCAGTCACTGCTGTGTTCCTGTGAGGTTCGTGATGGGTTCATGTCTTTACAAGTCAGGTACTGCAGAACCTGCTCATTTTTCCATTAGCTCCACAGAAGGTTGCCCAGGCCTTCCACAGAAGTAGTAATGTAAATTTTTTTAAGCTGTATTTATATATTCAAATATGTTTAAAGCAATATTGTACTAGGAAAAGCAAGCACTGCACTTGATTCTGCTTCTACAACTCAGCTTAGGCAAGTGCTGGATCCTGCAGTAGTTGCAGCAGGTATCTGGACACAGGTGTGTAGGACTAAGGTAGCCAAGCAGGTGAACTGACAGCTCCACAGGTAGCAACCACTGCCTCTTCCCGAGTTATTTAACCTTACACCTCTTCCTCAGTGACTGAAGAAGGGTTAGCAGCCAACAAGAAGCCTCTAACTACAAGTAGTTTCACACACTACTGCAAGAAAATACACTTGTCTTCCTGGTGAGATATTTTATGGTGATTTCAGAGAATGGCTCAGTCTCTCCTTTTCTAAAATACCTGTAATTACAGATTTCTGCTCTCCCCAAGCCACAGATGCAATGGAGCTTTTAGCAGCTGTGTCTGCACCGTGTGACAGACCTGGAGGAGGTGTTTGCTGCAGCTGCCCTTGTGGCCCCAGATAAGACAAAAACCCCCATGAAGTAGAGGCTTCTCAAAATAAGCGGTTAGTTGAAAGTCTTATTCCCAAACTAAAGTGTAAAAACAAGGTGAGGATAATCACTGGCTGTACTCAAACAAACTCAGGACACTGCACAAAAACAGTTGTTCCTTTCTAGTCCTATTAAAGAGCACTTCTTTTCCTAATTTCCTTATTATTCTTCAAATTACTGTTCATAATGGACAAAAACTTGTCAGTGTTCTTTAGGAAGTATCTCCCCTATCTCCCCACTCCAATTTATGTTACCTACAGAGCAGCTAATAATTTTTAATCAATATTGAAGATCTTGAGTCCAGTTGATCCAAGCATGCTTTCATCAAAAACAGGGAACTGTGCAAATGTAACTGGGTTAACTTGTCTTTGCATTTCCAGAAGGTAAAAAAAAAAAAAGAGCAGCTCTGATCTCAATCTAAACCTCTCAAATTTGCAGAGAGAGAACCTGATGCTAACCAGAGGCCTCTACTCACCAAACCATTTCAAAATACAATTTCTCTTAACACTTGGGACTGCTGGAATATTGTACAGTGTGTCAGTTCTGTCAGGCAAACTGCAGATAAGCATCCCATTTGTATCCATGCCATTCCTCAGGGACAAAGTGAGTTTTCTGTAGCACAAGAGTTACAAAAACAGACAAATAAACTTGAATAGACTGCTGGTAACGTAATGTAGTGTTTTATAGCCTAGAGGAGTCAGTGTGTTTAAATGAAAAAGTGAGGCAGTGTCCTAAGGCCCATCTCGTGTTTTCTGTACAGATGGTTGACACCAGAGACTGATCCTGGGCTGTTATTTATTTATTCTCTGTAACAAAAGTAACCTTTAAGCCCTGTGTTATCCAACACAATGATATGCTGTACTCTCTCAGAATCAGGGTAATTTTTAGGAGCAGGCAAGTAAAGGGGAACAGAGTGACCCTCTACCTCTGGCTTCCCCCCAGGAAGCTCCCTGAATGCTGGTGTTGAAGCAATGAGGGCTTTCAAAGTGCTCACCTCGTGGCTCCTAAGCCTTTGAAAAATGATCCTGCAAATGGAAGTGTGCAGGATTTACTTGACTGAAATCAGGAGAATCAACACAATCAGTTTGTTTGGAACAGCTACTTAGAAAACAAGCAGAAAGAACTGGGGAAGCAACAGCACAGAACTCTGCAAAAAAACCTTCTCGTTTATTAAATCTGCAATTTCCCAAACTATATAAAACTACTGGAATATCTGAAAAACACCTGTTGAGCTGATGTGCAAAGACCTTTAAAAACAGAGGGGGAGGCTCGTTAGGGAAGAACTGTGTGAACAGCACACGTGGATCTCAACTGAAGAGCACCCAAAGGGTTTGAAGCAGTAGCACAGGAATGCTTTGTCTGCCTTGTCATGCCTCCCAGTCACAGCCAGTCAGTGCACACAGCCCAGAACAGGAGCCCAGAAACAATCCCAAGTTCTCCCAAATCCACGTTTCCATACAAAATGAGACCTGGTACTTCAGCCTACATCGTTCCTTATGTCTTCCTCTTCTTGGCTGCAGTTTTCTTTCCTCCTTTCTTGGCATTATTCCCATATTTTGCTTCCAGGTGGGCAAAGAAGTCATCCATTTCCCTTTCTCGATCCTTGCTTCGGCGCTGGGGAGGGGGAAAAGAAAACCAACCAAATTCAAAGCTTCTGTAACTTCCCAATACAGGTTATTCTATTGAAGCCTGATAGCTACATAAAATCTTGGAATATATTGAACAGGGAATACAATCTATAGAAAGTTTAGTGCCATTACTGACACTCCCTGTCTAACTGCCTGCAACTAGAAATTAAATATTTTGAGTGCACGTGGAATAACTTTGATAATTTTTAAAGAGACACAGGCAATAAAATCCATACCATAGTCTGTTAATTTAAGTACATGGTTAGCATTAAGGTTTTAACCTCAGGAACTCAGAAGAGTTGCAAGGATCCAAAATCAAAGATGCTCAGGGAAAACACAATTATAAGCCAGTAACATAATTATCTGCAACAAACAGAGAGAGTCTTACTTGAATCAGCGCTTGCAAGTCATTTTCTCCACCAAGGCCCAGTTCATCTTTAGTCTTTTTTGCCTCTTTAGCTTCTTTTTCTGCCTGAAAAAGCAAACAAGTTTTTTTTT